AAGCTGTCAACTTACAACAAACAAAATTAAGCTGTCAACTTAAAATAAACAGTAAGCTGTCAACTTACAACAAACAAAAATAAGCTGTCATCTTAAAACAAACATAATAAGCTGTCAACATACAACAACCAAAAAAAGCTGTCAACATACAACAACCAAAAATAAGCTGTCAACGTACAACAAACAAAAATAAGCTGTCAACATACAACAACCAAAAATAAGCTGTCAACATACAACAACCAAAAATAAGCTGTCAACATACAACAACCAAAAATAAGCTGTAAACATACAACAACCAAAAATAATCTGTCAACATACAACAACCAAAAATAAGCTGTCAACATATAACAACCAAAAATAAGCTGTCAGCATACAACAAACAAAAATAAGCTGTCAGCATACAACAAACAAAAATAAGCTGTCGGCATACCACAAACAGACGACGACGTTCACTCACCCCCCATCAGAAGCCTGTCAGCCTGCAGTACAGCCAACAGCAGTGCCTGGTTCACACGACAAGATGAAAACAAAGCTGTTGAGAGCAGCATTGCCTGAGTCCAGCCACGTTCATCCCTGTCAGGCGCACGCGCCGATAACTGCCACGCGGTCCCCATCAAATCAACGCTGGCGCGTGAGGCTTCCCCTCCCCTCCCCCACCCTTTTCTTTCTTTTCTCTTCTTTCTCTTTTTTTTTTTTTTTTTTTTTTTTTTTTTTTTTTTTTTTTTTTTTTTTTTTTTTTTTTTTGTTTCTCTCTTCTCTTTTTCTTTTTTATCTTCCTTCTTCCTCCCACAATCCAAAATCACGCAATGTTGCGACCACTCTTACAGTCCCTGATCACGAAATGGTGTAATTACTAAATCTATATATATGTTCTTTGCATATAAATATATTTATGTATTTATTTTATATATAATTAAATATATATTTAATATATATATATACACTCAGGGGCTAATTAACTTACAAATTAGCGTATAGTCTAGCTAGCTAAACGGTTTCTTGTTAATATTTATAACACATTTCAAGAAGAAACACATCTTCAAACCTGCAGACGTGTTTGATTCGTTTTCATGAAAGAGATTCACAATACTCATTGTTTTTTTTCACAACAAAATTACTGTAGCAAAAATAACAAGCGTTGTTCGAGACAGTTTTTAACGTTACGCTAGTTTTGTGAAGTGTTAACAGTAAAACAAAAAACAAAAAAATACTTTGCGTTATACCTTGTTAATAAGTCCAGATAAGTGTTACAGATGTATATCTGAATTAATGTAAACAATTGATCAATTTATTTTTTGAAATAGTGTGTTCATATAAACAAACGCCATGCATATCTTTCAGTCCCGTATTTCTATGTCTCGTATCGTTCTGTCACGTATCTTTCTGTCAGTTATGTTTCTGTCACTTATCTTTCTGTCACGCATATTTCTGTCCCGTATATGTCTGTCACGTATCTGTCTGTAACATAACTTTCTGTTACGTATCTTTCAGCCCCGTTATTTACAAGCTGGACACTTTCAAACATTTTGACACATAGTATTGTAAGACTAAAACTTGCGATACTATTGTATTATAGTTTAATTTAAATCATGCGTGCACAACTCAAAATGTAAGGCGGGCCGTAATACTGTATGAAAAACTTGTGCGGGCCGTAATAATTTATGAAAGACTTGTGCAGGCAATAAGAAAATAGGACAGGGGAGGGGGGAGCTATTCAGATAATAATACAACATAATATTTCGTTACTTCGCGGGCCACAAAGTGGGTGCTGGTGGTGCTGGGCCCGCGGGCCGTATATTGTACAGACCAGGTTTAAATCAGTCAAGCCCAGCTCTCAGGGTTATGGTGATTAATATAGGAGAAGCAACATTTCGGAACAGGTTTGTGGATGTGTGTGTTCTCTACCCTGGAATGATTACCTCACTTATTTCAAAGGTTCGACTACGTTTATTAAAGTAATAGGTGGTAGGAAAGTTCTTTTTTTTTCTCTACCATTAAATAAAACATTTAAAAAAAGCTTCTTTTTTTTTCTAAAAAAAGTAATTAAAATATTGCAAAACCAGAAAAAGACATTAAAAGTAAAAGATATCGCTGAACATCAATGTCTTCATAATAAATAAAACTAAATGATATAGACTGATTCGAACTTCGCTGTTTGTTTCCAAGTGTTAGGTTTGGGACTGAAACCTTTCAGCTAAGTTTAAACTCTGTGCAGTTGGAGCGTTTCATTTTTAATTCTTTGGACGTCTTGGAAAGGTCTTTTTTGAAGTCTATAGAGTCCGACATGCGCACTGCATTTCCCGTCCAGCGTCATGGCGGTGGGACCATTATGTGCCAGTACATGGGATGCGGAGGCTTCCTCGTAGACTAAAAATGTTTCAGCAGTGTTTTACCTTCCTTGTATGATGTTGGTCGACCATCCACTGTCGGCGGGTGTAGAGTCGTGAGCTCAAATGCCAAGTGAACTTTCAGGGTTTATTTCGGCCCTATCTAATGTAACATATCACTACATATACCATGGGGGATGAGGGGGGGTCCTAAAAATGTGACATGTTCATACTGAAACAAGATATGTTTATAATTACGCCTTTGCGAGTTTTTTTTTTTTAAAGTACTGACATAAACGTTTTTGACTAACTTAAATGAAAAGTTTCATATTCAGTTCAAATTACATACCTATTTTGTTGCTTCTGTCTTATTTGTAAAATTCTAAATATGCGCTGCAATGAGAAAAGCTACATGGGTAATAAGAAAAGCTACATCGGTAATGAGAAAAGTTTCATCGGTAATGAGAAAAGCTACACAGTTAATTAGAAAAGTTACATCGGTAATGAGAAAAGCTACATCGGGTAATGAGAAAAGCTACATCGGTAATGAGAAAAGCTACATCGGTAATGAGAGAAGCTACGAAGCTATATTATTAGGTTAAGAGAAAAGGTGTTCACCCTTCAGTTATTGTTTTGGTCATCAGTGAGCGGCATTCCCTGTGGTTTCCATGGCGTCTAAGCAATTGAAGTGTTTCCCAATATGTCATTACAAAATTACTGCAACTACATTTGAGTATTTGCAACCCATTTGTAGATACTAAAAGTTGCTAAAAGTGACTTTTGGTGTGTTTTCCCCCTTCCACTTGTATCTGTATATACACTAATATTTTACGGCGGAATTTCAAACTATTTATAAATTGAAGTAATTGAAAATACAGGGTTTTTTTTTTTGTGTTATTGTTGTTTTTTTTTAAATATGACCAAATCTCTTTATGGAAACGACTTGCAATCTGTTATGAAACTTTACTCAATTTTGTATTGTCCCAAAATATAAGAACCTTTCCTTTTGTTGTAGAGCCTAAACAATGACATTTGCCTGGACTTACCAGTAATGACTCCTTACGAACATTACCGTTCATGGGTCACTGCATATGCCGGTGTCTTTGCCTGATCTAAACTGACCGTCTCGCTCGTTTAAAAACCTCTGACTTCAACGTGAATGTCCAAAGGTGTGTCAAATACATTTCGTGCGCGTGGAAATTTACAACGCAGATGAACCAACGGATCCCGGTCTCCCTGAATAGTCAATGCTTGGGCTAAGCAAAGGCATCCAATAAAGGTCGCACAAAGTTCAGAGTTCGCCTGAGGTGGACGTGTGTGGGTTGTGGCGTCGCGCTATTTAGTTACCCCTGGGGGCGAAAGTCCCCGCAAGACGACCGGATGTTAGTTTAGGAAATCCATAATGTGGTGATATCTGTTTAAAGGGTTATATTTCAGTTTCCTGTCATGTGTTTCCATGGTGACATGGTGAGAGATTATTGTAGGTTGTAAACTTATATTAATAATTGATAAGATCAAATATAATTAGCTGGATTAGCTTCTTCACAAGAAGAAAACATTCAACGGTCAATAGGAAACAAAATAAAATCTCCCACTCGACTCTGCACAGTCTAACTTTCACTTGCACGGTCCCACTTATACTGTAGATTTGCTCAGTAGCACTAACGCTGCAGGTTTGCTTATAGCACTGACACTGTAGTTTTATCCAGTAGCACTTACACTGTAGGTTTACCCAGTAGTACTTACACTTTAATTTTACACATAAGCACTTAACTTTAGGTTTGCACAGTAGCACTTACACTATAGGTTTACTCAGTTGCATTTACACTGTAGGTTTGCTCAGCAGCACTGACACTGTAGGTTTACACATTAGCACTTGTCTTTAGGTTTACACAGTAGCACTTACACTTTAGGTTTGCATAGTAGCACTTACACTGTAGGTTTGCACAGTAGCACTTACACTTTAGGTTTGCATAGTAGCACTTACACTGTAGGTTTGCACAGTAGCACTTACACTTTAGGTTTGCATAGTAGCACTTACACTGTTGGTTTACTCAGTAGCATTTACACTGTTGGTTTACATAGTAGCACTTACACTGTAATTTTACTCAGTAGCACTTACAAATGTTGGTTTATTCAGTAGCACTTACACTGTAGATTTGCACAGCAGCACTTACACTGTAGGTTTGCCAAGCAGCACTGACACCCTGGGTTTACAGAGTAGATCTTGCACTGTAGGTTTGCCCAGTAGCACCCACACCCTGGATTTACAGAGTAGCACTTGCACTGCAGGTTTGAATTGAGCGTCTTGGTAGAGTGAACAAAGCGTCGCTGAAGTCGTACTTAATGCTATCTGATCACAGGGTATTTAGTTTCGATATATAATGATTCATGATTTAGTCTATTAAAGGCAATGTTGACTTTACATATTACGAATAACGTGAACCATATCTGAGCTGCTGTAAATGTTAGGCCTTACTATATGGGAGAGGGCGTCTTTTAAAGGAGAACGCACATGTTTAGTCAAGTACTTAAAAATAACACCAAAAAAAACTGTCGTATGCTGCTTAGGTTTTATACTAAAGATGGGCGCAATTTGTTACAATTCGAGTTTACAACTTGAGGTTACGATTTGAATCGTCAGAATGTATTTATTTGTTTGTAAAATAAAACACACGAGACACATAGATTCCACTCAAGATGCACCAAAAAGCTTCAGTTCCTCTGTTGCCAATCTTCCTATCGCCTTTTTTTTTTCTAAAGCATGTAAATAACATTATCATTTTCATTGGAGCCCTCTTGGGAGCTTGGACACTTCGAGCTTCATCGGCAGTCGTATTTGTCATTTGTTAATAAAGTCAATTAATACTTTTCATGCGCTAAGCAGTTTGGCATTACGCTGGTTACAAGTAGCTACCACACGTTACACAGTAGTTTTTAAAACGTGATTTTCCTTTAAGCTCCAACGCTGCTGAAATTGAGAAGTCCTACTGATTGAATCAAAAATTTCAGAAAAAGAAACGAAATCACGGGGGAAATCAAGGGATGGGATTTCACGGTTTCTAACACTGCATGTGGAGACAGATTTCATCGGTTCTTTATCTTGAAGAGATCATTACTCGCTTACTATGGCAAAAAAAAAGGTTTCCATTGCACCATTTGGACCAACCCAAAGTGAAGCCTAAGACATCAAACGAATTCATTTACGAAATTAAGAATATGTAAAATGGCACAGCTTGTAATACAGCTATGCCTTCACCCAAACTAACACTATGATTATGTAAAATCAAAATGAAATGACATCTCTGTTCATACTTTATATCAAAGAAGACCTGTTGACAAATTAGCCAGTTTCTTGCAGCTCCATCGGCTCGTCGATAGACCCATCTGGGTGTAATACATTTTCTATAGTACTTTGATCCATGTCAACCTCTTCGATGAACACAGGCGGCGTCTCGCAGGTTGGTGGCGGCGCCAGGAAGCAATCGCCGCTCCTCTCTTCGGTATTCCCGCTGAACATGGCGTCCGAAGTGCTTTTTTGTAACACGCGGGTGTCGGATGTACCGATCAGCGGCACTGAGACTTTTCGTGCATCTTTGGAGAAGCCTCTACACCTCTCATCGAACTTCATTTTAATGAGATCATCTGTGAGAGAAAACTCTTCAATAAAACCTTCGCTGTTGTCCTCTTCGCCATCTTCCTGTTTGTACGCGAAGTTGGGAGTCTTCCCTATCTCTACGGTGACGACTCGTTGCATCTTCTTCCTGGCCGACGCGATGTACTCCAGAGGACTGTGTTTGGTTGATATCTCCAGGTCGGGCAGCTGGATGGCGTTGTTCCTTTGGTTCACCTTGGAATCTGAGTTTGAGATCTCGATGGTTTTGGCCAAGGCCTGCACTCCTAGTTTCAAGAGTCTTGTCCCGTTCTGCAGCACCCTGTTGGGCAGGCCCCAGATAAAAACGCAGCCATCTTTCGATGTCGAAACAATGAATTTCATATTGTGGGAGAAGTGCAGCCCGCTAACGCTCTTGGCGTGGCCGTGCACTGTAGCTAAGAGCAGACCGTGCGAGAAACTGAACACGTTGATGGATCTGTCTGTGCAAGCAGACAACATCAAGTTGGTTCCCGGGTCAATCTGGATCTTCTCAAGGCGAGCACTTTCATTGATGCAAACATTGTACCGTTTGAATTCCTTGCAGGTGCCGGCGTCTATGATGCTGACTTCTCCGTTTATTCGACCGACTCCTATCAAGCACTCCTTGGCGCACACGACGATGTCGATGACAGAGCATGCCGTGTGGCGACAGCGGAATGGTTTAAATTTGGGGACCTCCTCAAGGCGACTTTTGCACATGACAAGTGATCTGATTGGGAAAAGATGAAAAGATTCTTGCGTTAAAACAATCATAGAATCATAACAGCCTAAGTCACATTTAAACAGAGTAGAGAAGGTCAGAAAAATCTTTTAATTACTCTACTTGGTAATCTCTTTAAAAAAAATAGCCCCTTTTATGTAGCGATCATTATTTTTTCAACTTGACTGGTTCTTTTTTTTCTACATTTGAGAGCCATCGATAAATTTATTGATCATTCTGGCTCCTGGTTTGAATTCAGAGTTTGCCTTCTTCTCTTAGACGAGTTGCCGTCAAGTGCTAATGATTCCCACCCACCCGGATGTTATTTAAAGTCCTCAAAAATCAGAAAAACCGGTTGTAAGTTAGTTTAAAAAAAATTAATCTATTTGATTTCTTACACTCAGAATCTAAGCCATTAAAAACAAAAATTATTTGGAAAGTACAAACACAGGTAATGCTTGTCTCTCAGTCACCTCACAGCCGAATTTTCACAAATAAAGGGTATATTATTGTTCAAGAATGTGACCCTATTATGTATGGTTCCAGTCTTATTCCCGGCACCTGAAAGCAGTAACTTACCTGTCTAAACCTGAGCTGAAAAGCGTCATGGTCTCGTTGACACAGCAAAGGGCAACAGAGTTGACTGAACTCGAGTGGATGTTGAGTGTGTTTAACAAGACGAATTCGTGGTTTATGTCAAAGATGTTAATGACTCGATCCCTCCCACCACTAGCCAGTAGCTGGAAGACACACAAACATTTGCTGCAGTCCAAATTCGCGTGGTTCTTGCGAGCACAAAACAATGAACAGAAGTATTTAAATGGCCTTCTTTTAAATTGATTTTGTCTGCTGATAAATTTTTTTTCATGGTAAAAATATAAAACCTCTCACATTCATTTGTACTTGAATCCTTACAATGAATCAGTTTAATAAATAGTATGTAACAAAGGAAGGAAGAAAAGCAAAAAAAATTATTTTAAATTATACCATCGCCAGTGATAGTCTACTATAAATTATAAAAAGTGACATTGGTATAGACATTAAATACCAAGTTTATTTCTGTCATCAGCTAAAGGGTGTGTCATGTGGTGTCTTGTTGTATGATGATCTTGTGTACAAACATATCTTAGGGATCATGATTGCATAAGTTTATCTGAATGAGATGACATTTAACTGGTGTTCTCAGATTTGTCCTACGAGATGGTCTGGCCATGGTGCACTCACTCACCCTTAAATTAAGGCGCGATCCGGAGTAGATATTGAGTGTGGATACGCCCCTGGTATGGCGGTGGATCGTTTTGACGTTTTCTAATGTGGATGTTGTATAAACTGAAATTGCTCCTCTCGAGTTGCCTGTTACGATGTAATCCCTCTCGGGGCTAATCTGAGAAATTGAATGGTTTTTAAAGTGGAAAAAAATGATTACTCTTTGAGAGCATTACTCTGTGCTATTATGAAAAATATCTATATTAACATGAAGTTCACACTGTTTAAAAATGTTTGCGTTTATCAACTGTCTTTTGGACACGGTTGTTTAAGCTCTATAGCAGCTTTCTTCAAGTGGCGTGTCTGGACACTGGAGCTTGTTTGTCCCAAGATTTTGATATAATCGTTAAAAAGTATTTGGTCAGTTTTTATTACTCGAATTTATATACATATATTTTATTTTTAAATATCTGTTAGTCTTTTTTGAGCCAGATCTTTGAGCAACGTTGTGTCCTCTAATACTGAACCGTTTATAAATGTGCACTTAATGTTATTTGCATTGCCAATACCGTCTCATGTCACTTTTTGGGACTATGATATATGTCATTAGTAACGTACCACAGGTGAGCTTTGCGTGGCAATGAACCATGAAGCCCAGGTAACTTCGCTCAAAATTTCAAAACAAGTTCAGACCATCCGTGACCCGGGAATTAACATCATTTCATTTTTTTTAACACCAATTGTTAACAAAATAATTGAACGCCTTCTTGTCGAAACTTCAAGCTTAAGTTAAACTTTATGCTAACAAGATTTTCACATTTAACACCGGCCTTCTAATGGAATGAAACTTTCACTCGAGGGCACGCACTGACTTCATTTCCAGTTCACGATTTCCACACAGCACTCGGCCATAGGTGGGGGTAGGGGGGCGCCTTGACTCGTATATATCTATTTTGTATTTTTTCTTTTTTTTTTCAATTAATGGATTCTTATTGTTATGTAGTACACTTTCCCCGTGCTTGAACTTTGTTTCACCCCACATTAGATCCCTAGCAGACGGTAGCGTTTGTTGTGGGCGTGGTTGAAGTTCTCTTTGATGTATCTTGCTTACTACCGGCTTCCAATTAAACATGGTTAGTAGGTCTACTAGTATCTTGTCGAAGGTTCCCGATTGAATTAGAAAAGTAAGGGCGTTCCTAGACGCGTCGGTAGACCCATGTATATAAGGGATTGACAGGCACAGAGAGAGCGACAGATTCAGATAGATATTTGTAACTTTACGAGGCGTGTATTATTCTTTGTGTTCTTATATATGTGTTTATGCGCATTTCGTCATTGTACATTTTTAATTGGCACATTGTACTAACTGTGTACCGGTACAAGATCTACCTTACTCTTTAAGTCGATCATTTGTAATTATATTTCTTTTGTTTTATAATTGTATTATTATTAAATTAAATTTTATTAATTGTGATTGGTACTGTTTTCGGTGTCGTATTTTTGCTATTGTATTTCTCTATGGTATCGTCCTTTTTTAATGCACTGTTTGAACGAGCCATAACTTAAAATAAGAGATTAATTTCTCAAAATAGAAGTCAGTGCATAACACTTATATAACCATTTTGTTTACTGTATTCGATAATGGCGTTACTGGTTACGAATAACAAAATTGGGTAGAGCTCGGACTTGTGAAGCTAAGGGCACCCCACTTTCAAATGCTCCGCCACCATGATTCCAACCCCCCCCCCCTTACCTTGACTGCGGTGATGAGCTTCTCATCCATGGATGAGTCGATGGTGTCGTGGAGTCCCAGTGCCTCCTCGATGACCGGCTCGTTGCGATCAAATTCTGTATAAATTGTTTTGCTGCTCTTACAGCAGATCCCCTTGGACATGGCTATCTCCCAGAGCCTCACTGTGGCGTCGTGAGACACGGTGACGATGGTCTCCTTGTTCTTCGCTTTGTCCCCTGACTTCATCAGATCCAACCCAGTTATCGCTTTACTGTGGTTCACAGAATAGTATCTAGTAAGAAATAAAAAATAAATTGATTAAAAAATCGATTGTCATTTTATAGTCAAAATAAATTATGGGCCATAGTAATTACATTAAACACACGCTCTCTGCTCATGAGACATAGGTACGCTCAGGGGCGTAGTTAGTTATGCGGGTGGCAATAGGTCACGTTCCTACAGTCTCCGATTAATAATGTTTCAATAGTTTATAAAAATGGAATTGTCGTTTATAATCTTCTGTCGAATTAAAAATGTCAGAAAACAATAAACTTTTGGTAGCTGAAATGTGGTGGGCCATCCGTTCTTGCTAAAAATTAATGCATGCGTAGCTTAACACTAGAACTGTTCCCTGAGGTATCCAACAAAGTTTCTCCTACCCCGCGCTCCTCCTGGCTTCACATTTCTGTACCTACCACTGGCTACAGCATCTTTGTATTAACTTTAGCAGGAAAGCAGGGTCACGGCTTTCGTCTGATATTTTACAAGACATCAGCTATCGGACATTAACGTTTCCAAATGTTAACCTTTCTTTCGTTTTCAATCTCAAAACTTGACTTACTTCTGTTTGATATTCGACAGGTCGCTGACGTCCCAAATACATAAGCTCCCGTTGGTCAGTGCAGCCGTAAGCAAGTGGTGACAGTGATCTAACGCTAAGAATATGTTAGCCTTGTGCTGGTCCACTATGGCTTCTAGTGTGCTCGTCTGACTCTTTATCACCTGCTCCGCGAAGCAGATGTCAAGAGGAAGTGCCACAGTTGCTTTGAACTGAAATACAAAAAAATATAAAAAATATAAAAAATAAAAAATAAAAAATAAAAATTTACCATTTGTTAATTTCAATCAGGAGTTCTTTACCAGGGGTGCAGTAAGAAGTGTAGGGGAGTGCGGCGAAGGCTCAGAAAATCATGGTTATTTGCATTTTTATTAGGATATTGTTGGGGTGCGGGAAATGTGTTTTGAAATCAAGGTAGGAGGGATGCAGCTCTGCACACACTCTAAACAAAACCTTAAGAACCCTCGATTTAAATCATTTTTTAGATATTCAAATTCGTAGGATAACCAATATTTTCTGAAAATGATTTAGCGGTTGCTTATGCAAGCTAACTTGACAGTTCCCTTTTTGTTATATGTCTCACTAACACGCGATGTCTTGCGGTGAAAGAGAAAATGTTAATTTGCTCTTCTGAAACTTTGTGTATGAGATGTTCAGTTTGTATCATATCCAAGATTATTGGACTTAGGAAATCGCTTAAGTACATCATGATTTTCAAGCGTTTTTGAATAGCTCTTATTCTGTTTAAAAAATGTGTAGATTTTTCCACTGAATAAACTAATTTTAAAAGTGATAATGGGATACGTGCATTACAAGATGCTAAGTAAATCTGTAAAATAAATACTTAAAAGTTGACGTTATTGAAATAGCTACACTTCAATTGTTGTTTATTAAATATATTAGACGTAACTCAAAGTAGCGTGAAATTTCTGTCCAATCCATTTGGAATATAATATCCACCTTCGGCCTTGGCCAAGAGTTGCAATGCTACTGCTGTTACTGGCCCATTAAGTGATCGATAATGCATAAACCATCTAAACAAGCTGGGGCGACTAGTTGTAAAGGACAACTCTCGTGGAAATGTGTTTATTCCTTTTTGTGTCCCCTGGGAAATAGAAAAACAAAGAACGAAAATAAAGTGGAAATGAAACGAAACTTTGAACTCACGTCCAGGGTCAAGGCATCGAAGAAGTAAACATGGCCACATATTGACCCCACCATCAGCTGATTGCCGTGGACTTGTAAACTCGAAAGTTGCGTGTTTTGCAAACGTTTGTAGACTTTGACTTCACGTCCTGTTGACAACTGTAGAAAAGGGTGAACATTCAGTGAAGCATGGTGACAATGATGCAAATGTTAGCACGGTATAGTCTTACTGATCCCGCAAGTTCTCATTCATTAGGGGTGTCACAGAGCATGGTGCCACAAGACAGAGCAGGGTGCCAACAGACAGATCAGGGCGCCATCAGAGTAGGTTTAAAACAGAAAAGACTGTCTCGGGAGAGGATCATAGTGATGTCTGGAGGAGTTGAAAAGCTTAGCAGGGGGAGCATTCAAAGAGACAGAAGAAGAGCCATCGACCAAATAACATTAAGTTTTAGGCCGTCCGAGCTTAGAGGCTGCTATTGGCGACTTTGTCAAGTGAAAATTCATCAAGTGAAGAATGTTGATTTTGATGAACCGTTTGTGTGTATCTTTGAAGACCAGGAAAGTAAAAATTTAACTGTCAAGTTTAATTTTTCAATAAAAATTAACTTTGTTGCATTTTTAAAAAGCTGTTACCTGATGTTGCTTTCTAATGTCTTTTGTTCCTTTGGGACTTTTTGATGCCTAAATTACGAATATGCAATAAACGATTCTATACGCAGAGTTCTGGTATGGGGTGGGGGATCGAAACCGGAAAACTGGGGGGGGGGAGAGGAGGAGGTTCCTTTGGGACTTTTTGATGCCTAAATTACGAATATGCAATAAACGATTCTATACGCAGAGTTCTGGTATGGGGTGGGGGATCGAAACCGGAAAACTGGGGGGGGGGGGGGAGGAGGATGTCATCATGAATTTACCACAATGGGTGACACCTACCCTAGTGACGCCTCTGGGGATAGGCACATTTCTGAAGCACAGCATATTTTTTTTTTAACTCTGAACGAGCAAATAAACTTTATTGCTCAGAAGCAAATATTAAAGCATAAATTAAAAGAACTGATACTGTGCTGTCCATTTATTTCATGGCAGTTGAACAGTTAAGAAATTGATACGTCAATTAGTTCATATTGGTCATCAATCCGAAAATCGTTTAAATTCCACAAGTGTATTATTTTCAACAAAAGGAAAATATTTATCCTGAAATTTTTTACTACCAAATTGAGGAAATAAAATATTTCTTAAATATTTACTTGTTTAAAATCTGTGACTTAAACTCCTTATTGTTTGTGTCTACCGAAATTGCTTTTCTGATCTCCCGATTAGTGAGGAATCTTTGATCCAATGGATAATATCATAGAAATAAGAGGATTTAAATCTATCTATTTAAAAAAAAAAAAAACTATTGGGTGGACGTTTTCAAACGAATAAGATAAGCGTAGACAAGCTGGCAGTACAGTTACAGCGAATATAAAAAAATGTGAACCTTGCAGACGATGCCACACTTGGTCACGCAGTAAACGAAATCCTGTGAACTCTCAGAGCCGCAGACGACATCGACAAAAGTGCTGTTTTTGATTTCACCCAAAATGGCTGGTCGGCCATAAAGTGTACTTAGGTATGGACGCAAGGGGAAATATTTGTTGGGTTCTTTCTTGATGGGCACAGGGTACCAAAACTTGACGTGGTGCACTCCACATGTGATGAAAAACGTATCTCTCGAGGAGAACGACATAGCAAATATGTCTTCTGAAAGTTGAAGAAGGAAGAAAAAAAAATATGATCTGCGTGAGAATAATGACTATATCTTTGCATTTCTTAGTCCAGTCGTATAGCTTGGACAAAACTGCGTGATTAATTAGGAAAACATGATCCCTCTGTGGTTGATATTGAGTAATTATTCACTTCAACTCAGATGAAAAAAAATTTTGATAGACAGCGATTGTTTTTATCGAGTACATAAGATGTGTCATAGTTTTTAAGAATAATGAGTTGCGCGTCTATTTAAACTATTTCATATGTCAAGTACAACACCATGCTTGAGCCCAAACTTACAAATAGAGAAGTTTTCTCTTTAGAAGAAAGTCTAAAACATTAAGTTCATTAATAATCATCAGCATTGGAAGCAACACTAGTAAATCAAATCACTATTTATTGAACTAATCGGGTCTGTGCAGGGTCGGCATGAGGTACCGGCAACTCGGGCAGTTAGCCGGGGCGCCATGTGTCTAAGGGCGCCATCAACGATCTTTCAAATTATAAAAAAATCATTACATGTGGGTGCCATGGAAGAAAAATAGAAAGTGCAATAAAAAGGTTGGCTGATCTAAAGGCAAGGAAAAAATTTCCACGGTAGGCTAATTGTTCATACTGCCCACGGTAAGCTAATTGTTCATACTGCCAACGGTAAGCTAATTGTTCATACTGCCAACGGTAAGCTAATTATTCGTACTTCTCACGGTAGGCTAAGAGTTCATACTGCCAACGGTAAGCTAATTATTCGTACTTCTCACGGTAGGCTAAGAGTTCATACTGCCAACGGTAAGCTAATTATTCGTACTTCTCACGGTAGGCTAATTGTTCATACTGCCCACGGTAAGCTAATTGTTCATACTGCCCACGGTAAGCTAATTGTTCATACTGCCAACGGTAAGCTAATTGTTCATACTGCCAACGGTAAGCTAATTATTCGTACTTCTCACGGTAGGCTAAGAGTTCATACTTCCTAAGGTATGCTAATTGTTCATACTGTCCAAATATAATTTAAAACAAAGAATTTTATGTTTATTGTTTGTTTCAACAAAAAAAAAAACACACACAAACTAGGTAGTCAACTCATTATATAATCCCCAGTTTTTTCCTTGCACAAATGTGTATTATTATAATTTAAATGGGCCCCAAAAATAAGCTTGCCCAGGTCGCCAGCAACCATACGGCCGTCCCTGGGACTGTTGTGTGGTGTCTGTTTTTATTTTCCTTCAAAAATGTACATAAATCTCTAAGCTGAGGACTCTGTGTAAACCAGGTCAGTGCTAAAACTGTATCAGAAGAAGAAGAAAAAACGCCAAGCTTCTGGTTTCTTTACTCACCGGCGAATCTGTTGCAAGCGAGCCTGTTCTTACTTGGCCAGCCCCACACGTTGATGAAACCATCGTGCCTTGTTCCTACGGAAACCACCAGGTCCATGTCTTTGGAGAACGACGCGCCCACTATTCCGTACTCATGTCCGATAAACTTGGTCACTTCCATCTCCTGCTGGATGCACCAGACACGGAGTGGCGGCATGTAGCCCAGCTCCCCAATCAGCAACAGGCTGCCGTCTGGGGAAAACTTCACGCACGATATGGTCTGCTGTGCTTGGTGGATATAGCCCCTTTGCCTGGTGATAGAAGCACGTGCCGTTGCAAGCGGTATTTGAAGAAAAGGCCAAAGCAATAAATTCTGTGGTCTTACTTTCTAATTGTTGTATAGCTTTTTTTTTCTTTTTTTTTTTTTGGGGGGGGGGGGGGGGGTTTTTTTTTTTTTTTTTGTTTTTTTTTTGTTTTGTTTTTTTTTTTGTGTTTGTGGGGAGGGGCGTATTTAAAAACAATTTTTAAAAAAACTTTTCCTCTATTATTTGGAATTCGCGATTATACAAAAAGTTCACTATAATAAATACTATTCCTCAAATATTGAATCTGAATGATCATACCAACATAGTGAATATTAAATCCCAACAACAGATATGTCAATGTGAGAACAAAATAAAACAGAACACTATCTGAGTATCGAAACATATGTAGGGAACTGGTCAAGAAAATGGTCATGGGGGAAGTGATCAATGGAAATAGTTAGACTGAAGGAAATAGTTTATTTAAATTGTCAAAGGAAATGGTCACGGGAAGTGGTCGTCCGGAATTTTCAATGGAAAGTGCCAGGCCTAAGGAAATAGTCCATGTAAATTGTAAAAGGAAATGGTCCATGGAAATTGTCCACTGTAGTTTACGGCTAATCTCATGTATCAAACTGCCTTATAAATTGGCTAACTTTATTAAAACTCTGAATTGTCATATGCATTAAGGCAGATAATTCATGCAGCATTCATTTTTGTCTTTAAAACAAATAATATATTAATAAGTTGTCCTCCTTTCACTTATCTCCCCTGTCCTGAATACTTCTGATTTGAACTATCGATCCATGTGGCACTACAGCCCATGTAGAGCTTGGACTGCTTCACTACTTCCTTCCACTCAGACCATCTATCCATCCATCCCTGTGGCACTACAGCCCATGTAGAGCTTTGGACTGCGCTACTACTTCCTTCCACTCAGACCATCCATCCATCCATCCCTGTGGCACTACAGCCCATGTAGAGCTTTGCACTGCGTCACTACTTCCTTCCACTCAGACTTAATTAATGCTTTTCTTTGCCATGCCTGGATTCCCAGTTGTTGTAGATCTTTCTTTTTCCATTTCATCCATCCATCTAAGCCTAGTTCAGCCTTTGATACGTTTTCCTCTGGGGTTTTGGTGATGCACCTTCTTAACTCCTCTGTCATTTGGCATTCTCTCTAAGTGTCCCGCCCAGCGTAGCCATTTTTTTTATTTCTGCTACTACCGTGGGATCCTGATATAGACTGTACTTCATGATTGCTTCGTATTCTCCATCCATATTCATCTTTTTTTGGTCCATATATTTTCCTGAGAACTTTTCTCTCCCATTTGTTTAATAGGTTTTCTGCCGTTTTTGTTAGGGTCCAAGTTTCACTTGCATGTGTTACAACTGGTCAGATTACAGTTTTATAAAAAAAAAACTTTTTTTCTCTTGTAATGTTTTTACTTTTGAATATTTTCTGACTACTAAAGTATGCCCTGTTACCGGCTGATTTCTTTCTTTTCTTTCTTTTTTTTTAATTCGTTTCTTTCATTTAATAAAGATCCTATGTATTTGAATTGATTTACTTTTTCAAAAGTCTGGTTTCTAATTTTAATGGCTTCATCTGATTTAAGCCAGCGTTTCCCAAATGCTGTTCCGCAAGCCCTACGTTGCAAATCCGCCTAACAGGAATATTTATGGTCACATTTAAAGAGAATAAATCTGGTCCCTGGTGCAGTTTCGAAACGTGTCCACCGGTCCTACAAATTTGAAAATTTAGGAAACGCTGCTCTAAGCCACGCCCACGCCTACGCTTTCATACAGCACCCTATACGCCCCACTTGCCCTCTGAAAATAGATTTCAATTTTAAATCTTAAAATAGCAAGAAATAAGCAAATTGGCCACCCCCATTGAATACTCATAACTCCAGACCGACCAGCGCTCTTGTATCTACAGTCAGAGTCGTACCCATAATGACATTTACCCATTTTGGAGTGTGACAGAAGCTGTCAGTGTGGTAAGTTTTAAGACCCATCCAGAAGAGACTGGCAGATGCTTGCAAGAGTTGATTGAATCGTCAATGGTGTTGGTAAACTATACATTATTTTAAGATGCTAGAATAAGCCACCGAAAGGGGATGTGTATTTCATGACGGAGATGTGACAAAACCAGATTGTAATACTCTAATGAAGAAGAAATGTGTACGGCCTGTCGGTGATAACACTTCTGAATGTTTATGAACATTTAATGTATAGACTAATAGTTTTATAGCAATAAAGTTATACCAGACATCAGGCCACGTGCTCAACAGATGCAGAGACACGTTTTAAATTGTGATCCAACAAGTGGTAGGATTTGATACAGACAGACCAACAGGCAGACCAACAGACAGACCAACAGACAGACCAATAGACAGACCGACAAACAGGCAGTCATGAAACAACCCCCCCCCCACACACACACACAAAACAAACGTGTTTTATAGGGTTTCCCAACCTGGGGGTTTCGCCGCTACACCCTCCACAACCCCCCCCCCACCCCGGGTGCCGTGGTGGCCGTTCAGGAGTACGAAAAAAAATGATTTAAGAACAACAGAGCCCTTTACTTTTAAGTTATGATATAAATGTTTCTATATTTGTTAAACCTGTCCTTCATTAACATTTTAATTTATGTAATGAGTCACACATTTATTTTTTGAGTTCTACAGTTATCTTTGCAATTCAATGAGCAAATGATAAGTCCATATCTGTCTTCACTTTTATAATGCATTGCTAATTGTTTAAGGAGGTCCCAGACTAGTAAAAACAAAATCGTAGAGGATGTATACGATAGAAAAGGTTTGGGAAACTCTGGTGTATAAAGAATAAACAAGGGAAAGTAACTCATGGTTTCAATGGTCATGTGGTGTTGTCTTTTTGTTGTTGAGCCTTCTCGTCCATGAGGGCCATCCACCGATCATCGTCGGCGTCTGCGGTTCCTCCAAGGGCATAGGCCACCTACGAGAGACCTCCAGGCATCTCTATCCTGGGCCAGCTTCTCCAGGATCTTCCATTCATGGCCAATTTTCTTGATGTCTGTCTCCAATTCTCGGCGCCAAGTGTTTCTTGGACGGCCTCTTTTCCGCTTACCCTGTGGGTTCCATTTCAGGGCTTGCTTTGTTATGTTAGAAGCAGGTTTTCTTAGTGTATGACCAATCCACCTCCACCGCTTCTGGAGAATCTCTTCCTCAATGGGTTTCTGTTTTGTCCGCTGCCACAGTTCCTGGTTGCTGATTTTGTCTGGCCAGTGAATTCTGAGAATCCTTCTTAGACAGTTGTTGATGAAGGACTGGATTCTGGTCAGGTTTACGGCCGTTGTTCTCCATGTCTCGGCTCCATATAGCAGCACAGGTTTTACCATAGCGTTAAAAATCCTTACTTTTAACTTGCTGCCTAAGTTGTTAGAGACCCAAACATTCTTGATTTGTTGGAAGGCTGCTCTTGCTTTTCCTATCCTTATTTTGACGTCCGCATCTGTACCACCTTGTTTATCTACCATGCTGCCAAGGTAAACAAAACTGTCCACATCCTCCATGGCTTCTCCTTCAAGCATAATGGGTGATGTACTGGTGGCATTAACCTTGAGGATTTTACTCTTCCCTTTGTGAATGTTGAGACCCATGCTAGCAGAAGTGGCTGCGACAATGTTTGTTTTCTCCTGCATCTGTTGTTGAGTATGTGCAAGAAGTGCAAGATCATCAGCAAAGTCAAGATCATCCAGTTGATCCCACAAGGTCCATTGGATGCCATTTCTTTTCTGCTGTGTAGATGTTTTCATCACCCAGTCAATGGCTAACAGGAAGAGGAATGGTGACAGCAAGCAACCTTGTCTCACACCAGTCTTCACCTGGAAAGCATCTGTCAACTGCTGGCCATGGATAACTCGGCAGTTTATCCCTTCGTACATGTTTCTGATTATATCAGTAATCTTCTGTGGCACCCCGTAATGCCTTAGCAATCTCCACAGGGTTTGCCTGTCAACACTGTCGAAGGCTTTTTCATAGTCAACAAAGTTGACATAGAGCGGCGAGTTCCACTCTAGTGACTGCTCTAGAATGATGCGCAGTGTCGCTATCTGGTCCGTGCAGGATCTGTTGGTGCGAAAGCCGGCTTGTTCGTCCCGCAACAGAGGGTCTACAGCGTTTTTCATCCTGTTAAGTAGTACACGGTTGAAAACCTTTCCTGGGATGGACAGCAGGGTGATCCCTCTGTAGTTCGAGCAGGAGCTTAAGTCTCCCTTCTTTGGGATCTTGATAAGGTATCCCTCTTTCCAATCGGAAGGAACTTGCTCCTCTTCCCATATCTTCATAAACAGAGGGTGTAGCATTTCCACACTGGTTTCCAGGTCCGCCTTCAGTGCCTCTGCTGGGATGCCATCAGGTCCCGCAGCCTTTCCATTTCTGAGTTGTTTAATGGCCCTGCTAATCTCTTCTTTGGTGGGACTATTACAGTCAATTAGCAGGTCATTATCGGCTGGTTGGATATCTGGTGGATTTCTTGGTTCAGGCCTGTTCAGGAGCTCTTCAAAGTGTTCCTTCCATCTCCCTCTCTGTTGCTCCTCACTTGGTATGGTGTTTCCCATTTTGTCCTTCACTGGTCTCTCTACCTTGCTAAATTTCCCTGACAGCGTCTTAATGGTATCAAACAGTTCCCTCATGTTCCCCTGGTGAGCTGCATCCTCTGCTTCTTTAGCAAGTTTATCAACAAATTCCTTCTTGTCCCTCTTGATGCTTTTCTTAACTTCCTTATTTGCATCTGCATACTCCTTCTGGGACTTGTTTTTCTGTGCTCGGGTGCGGCTGTTATTCACTTCTGATTTCTTTCTTTTCCTTTCTTCTATTTTATTCAGCGTACCTGCTGTCATCCATTCTTTGTGTGCCTTTTTCCTGTTTCCTAGCACTTCTTGACATGTTGACTGGACTGTTTCTTTCATGCTTTGCCACTTTCCTTCGGTGGTTTCATCTTCAAGTATTTCTTGTAGGACTTGGAACTTATTGAATAGTGCGATTCTGAATTCTTCCTTTTTGGCTTGGTCCTTCAGGAGGGAGGTATTATACCGAGTCCTGTATGCTGTTTGCTCGGTATAATGTCTCTTTAGTTTTAATTTCATCCTGGCCACAAGAAGATGATGATCTGAGGCAATATCAGCTCCCCTCTTAACACGTACGTCTTGGAGAGATCGCCTGAATTTTTTACAAATACATACATGGTCTATTTGGTTCATCGTTCTCATGTCCGGAGAGACCCATGTAGCTTTGTGAATCCTCTTGTGCTGGAAAATGCTCCCCCCTATGACCAGGTCAGCTGTGGCACATAGGTCCGCAAACCTCTCACCATTGTCGTTCATCTCGCCTATCCCTTGCTGTCCCATAACCTCTTCGTACCCTGTGTTGCTATTGCCGATCTTGGCATTAAAGTCTCCCATGAGGATGACGATGTTCCTCCGTGGGCGATCCTGGACTATGGTCATTACTCTATTGTAGAATTCTTCTTTGTCTCCTTCATCACTTTCATTAGTTGGTGCGTAGCATTGTATAACATCTAGGTTGATGCTACGTTTCTTTGTTCGAAAGGTTGCTAAAAGAATTCTAGGTCCATGGGCCTCCCATCCAATGAGTGCTCCTTGTGCTGCCCTTGATAGCATCATAGCAACACCCAGGGTATGTGGGGCATTGTCTTCTTCGTGTCCCGAAAATATCACCATCTCTCCTGAGATTAATCTCTTCTGTCCCCATCCAGTCCATCTTGCTTCACTAATTCCGAGAATGGTGAGCTTATAGCTCCTCATCTCAGCGGCTATTTGTGCCGCTTTACCAGCCTCGTACATGGTGCGGACATTCCAAGCGCCAATGACGGTGGTAGTCCTGGTAGAGATGATGGTTGTCGGCTTAATAGCTTCCAGGTTTCGGCTTTCACTATTAGGCGTCATATTTTCCTCCTCAAGGAATCCATCCTCTCCCAGGACTGAAATGTCTTTTGTTACTCTTTTCGGTGCTTTTGTAACTATGATTTTTTACATGGCAGGGTTGTTGGCCTTGCGCACAACCACTTGGGGGGTTGCCCCTCACAGCTCAATGGGTAGCTGCCTTTGTTCGGGTTAGGTCCCTAGCCTTTGTGGATCCCTCCACTTCCTACAAGGCAGTAGGGCTGATTTTGGTCCGCCCCGGGTATTTTATTTCCCCGGTACCCTCCATATCTGGCGGGCTTTCCCCTATCCGCCGGCTGGGGAGGCGCTCGATAGAAGATCAGCATCTCCCACGAGGTTGTCTTTTTAATTCCCATCTATTCTGTCTTGTTTCACATCCTCGAAAAGGGCCTTATAACTGTTTAATTTAAATATTATGTTGTTAATTTACTATAAAAAGCCGAACCGTTTTGCAACTCCAGCTCTGCTTTAAAGCAATCCCAAAAGTCGTGGCTTTAATTAAATACCCTTGGAAATGATGTGATGTAAATATATAGTGGAACGAGATATGTTTAGACTTGAAGGTGAAGAGAAGTGAAAGGAGAATTAAACGGAAGTTTCGGCGAGATGCCTTCTTCCGCAAATAAAAAACAAGAAACAACAGATAAAATAAAAAAATAGAAATAAAAACGTATGCTTTCGAAAATCTCAATAATGTCAATGTGGCTCAGTGTTTATGTGGCTCAGTGTTTATGTGGCTCAGTGTTTATGTGGCTCAGTGTTTATGTGGCTCAGTGTTTATGTGGCTCAGTGTTTATGTGGCTCAGTGTTTATGTGGCTCAGTGTTTATGTGGCTCAGTGTTTATGTGGCTCAATGTTTATGTGGCTCAATGTTTCGAACAGAAATTGGTTTTATCCGCGTTCATATTAAGTACGTACTTGCTGTTGACTATATCAAGAAGCACGGTGACGCCAGAAGCTGGATAAGCTAAGGTACCGGAGGCTGGGTTCACGGCAAGACAACTCCCAGTAAAACATCCCATACCAAGAGCTAACCTCAGCTTAAGTCTCGGTGGTGGGCTGGAGAGAGGCCTCTCTATACGATGGAACGGCCTCGCGGACGTTTCTTGTGACATGGTCTTCTCCCGACCAGTCGGGGGGCGGCTCGGTAGACCCTTAGACATAGAAATACATACCAAACTAGATGGTTGTTAATGGAGTATGTGTTGATAGAAAATCTGTCATAATTTAAAGCCGATATGATTGTGTAAAAATTGTTCGATGGCAAATGGGTTGGAGGGGGGGGGGGGAGATAGTAAGGGCTATAAATAGAAGCACCACAATCCCGTTGTAAATATTTTTAATATTGATAAAAAAAATATACTTTTATTATTTGAATGAGTTTTTTTTTTTTTTAAATGTTTTTAAATTGTTTTCGGTTTTAAACTTTAATAACAGTTGGTTTCGTTTGTTTTTTTTTTTTACTCTACCTTCACTTTTTACTTAAATTTATTTTTTTTTTTTTTTTTGGGGAGATAGTAAGGGCTATAAATAGAAGCACCACAATCCCGTTGTAAATATTTTTAATATTGATAAAAAAAATATACTTTTATTATTTGAATGAGTTTTTTTTTTTTTTAAATGGTTTTAAATTGTTGTCGGTTTTAAACTGTAATAACAGTTGGTATCGTTTGTTTTGTTTTTTTACTCTACCTTCACTGTTTACTTAAACTTATTTATGTTGTTTTTTTCGTTTGATTCGTTATTATTTCCTGTTTCATTTAAAAATTAAGTGATTTTTTAAAAATATAATTTGCCAGATAAAGAATTGCAAAATTTTAACTGTGGTTGTGATTTAACTTTTTTTTTAATGCTCTTAATTTTATCTTACAAAGGGAATTAACTGTGTAAAATGGACTTAAAACTTTCCAAGCGCAATTAAAATTCTTGTATTTAAATATTTAACGTAATGTTGCTAATTTACAGCAGTGGGGAGTGGGTGGGGTTGATTTTGCCATCCTCGTGTGTTTTAAGGAGAATTAACAAGAATGTAAAGGCGTGCCCATTATTTAAACCTAAGAGATGTAAAGAATCCTTAGGATATGCGGTTAAATCTTAACAAATGCTCAAAAATCCAGTACGGCATTGGCTTAGAAATGAAACAAAGTCGAACGACTTACTTACCACGACTGCTCGACTGCTGAGGCTTCCATCGTTTTGCTTCAGCCCACTTTCGTACATTTGAAACGGGTCTACGGTGGCACTGGGTCTCTGATGCAGCATTCGATGTTTCCACTAAAGAAAGGGGCTGCGTACATTTTGATGTTATTATTTTTCTAACTCATTATGTTAATGACCTATTTGCTCAATGCTTCCTTCAGCACACGGTAGGCCTACCCACTTAATAAATGACTTTTTTTTCTTTCTACTGTGCTCCTGTAAAACTGTTTTTATTTAGAATAATAATAACACATGAAATTAAATGATTGATATCACCATCCTTGGTTTGCTATGATATTAGCTATGACACTCGTTATGTAGTTAATAAAAAGTATTTCATGTAACGTCTAAATTTCGTTGTTAATTTTAGGCACTGATCAGTTCTGTGTGAAGGGGCGATGAACCCGCAGCGGCACTTTGTTTATTTAGTACATGGACGGGGGGCATTTTCGGCCAGCTGCTGACTTTGTTTGTTGTTGTTTTGTGGTTGTTGTTTTTTGTCGTGTGGGGGTTGGGGGGGGGGGCAAAAATCTTGACCCACCCCAGTCAGCTCCATCCTTAGCTACGTCACTAAGGATGGTCAGACTGGGTGATAAGTCAATTCAAATTAGAGAAATAGTATGTCATTATATGAAATGAAATGTAATTATTTTCTTGTAATTTAAAAATGCAATATAAATCAACTCATAGCAACCTTTGAGCACTTGTGACACATGCTCTTATTGGGTACTATAAATAGCTTAAAATAAAGCTACCCAAAAACGTTAAGAATAGAGTGTACAATATGTTACCTCCAAAACTCGTCTTTAGTATTATTACATTGTCAGCTAATGAGCAATTTAAATATTATTATTAGTTGCCATAAAAAAAACTATATATGCCCTAACTTGTTGATGTTATAGATGTGACGTTTTTCACCCAAAAGATTGAACGCCGTCAAAGTAAGTGATAAATGGTGCGCATTACTTCAGATGGGACATGCACTAAGTGTGCAAACAATTATAGAAAATAAACATATTTAAGTTTGCCCCACACCCCCCCCCNCCCCCCCCCCCCCCGAACTGTAATCTGAGAGCCTAGCAAAGGAGAGGTCGTTTTTGAACGCACTATACTATATAGTAAAACAAAATAGTACATTCAAAAAAAAAAAAAAATTGACGCAACATTTGATTGTGTTGACTGAAAAGATTCGACCAAATTTCCGTTCGATCAGATTTCCGTCGATCAATTTTCCGTCGACAAAATTTCTTTCAAACAAATTTAAAGATACGGAATTTTCTCAGGTGGGGGTCAATTAAATTCGGATATTCTTTTTAATAATATAAACATATAATTGAAAGCTTAAGATAAAGAGCGTAGGCTATATATTAATAGTACTTTTTATTTAAAAATAGAATTTTGTAAACATAATAACAGTCATACCCAATAATAAGAGCATTTTTCTCAAGTGCTCAAAGGTTGCTATATGTTGATTTATATTTTATATTTCATATAATGACATATTATTTCATCTAATCATAATTAAAGCTTAACATTCATTGTTTTATTTACACAAATAGTCTCATTAATGCTATTTTATCGGCAATCTTAAAAGCTTGTAAACGATGTAAGTCACATTGCGTAAAAAATCTGGATAGTTATGGCTCCCTTAACCCCACTGCTACGTTCTCTTGTTCTTCTACGTAGATCAGCTGTTTTTCAAAAACGTTATATGTCAGCAATGTCTAGCCTTCTTATTGATGACCCTAAATATTCGTGGCTAAAAGAGTTAGGGTTGTCAAGCGTCAATCAAGGTGTTTATCATGGTAAATGGGAAGGCGCTGGTGAGGTAAAGAATTAAGACTTAACTTAAGACTTAAGTCAATAAATCATGAGTTTTAGTTTTAGTTTACTAAAATGTAGAAATCCTGACTATATTTCACTATATTCTAACTATATTATATATTACTAAAGACTAAAGGGTCGTTCGCAAATTACGTCACGCAAAATATGACTTTTTCAGATCCTCCCTCACCCCCTGTCACAAATTCTTTACCACCACCCCCACCCCTTTTTAGTGTCAGGAGTCACATCACACCTAAATATCATACATTTACATAAAATTTTCATAAATAAACTAAGATTTTATTTTATTCTTCAACATTTTCCCATTAATAATTAATGGCTGTAGATGTAGTATTATTAGAAAACTGGTCTAATTTGGAGAGAGCACCCTGACGTCATTTGCATGTTTTGTCACTGGTTCCGATAGGGTCAAAACCTAGGTTAGGGATAAATTTAAGGTTCAGATGAGGTTTAGGGATAGATTAATGGTTCATTTAGGGATACATTTAGGACATAAGTTCACGAGTCGCGGCAATCACGAATGGTGGCCATGGTGCTATCTCTCCAGATTTACCGAAAACTGTGACATAAAATGCAAAACAACAAAGTCATCCCCGCGCCTAATGTAACAAAAGGCCACACCTGTTTTTGCGTCATTTTTCTATATGCGCAGAAGGTGTCACGACTGAGTTTCACGGTACTTATTACACCTGAGGCAATTTTGTCCTCAAATTAATGTTTTTAAAATTAATTGAATACAGATTTTTAAAAATTAGAAAATTTTTATTTAAAAAAAATAAATAAAATATTGTGACATTACACATTTTTTACCCCTCCCCCTGTCTCAAAGTGTCACAAATTCTCGACCCCTCCCCCTTCAGCGTGACGTAATTTTTGAACGACCCCTAATTTCATATATATTATTATAATATAATCAAGAATGGCTATTGACTTGAATACAAAAAATTGAAAAATACTTAAAATAGTTTTAAGTTGTTATGGCTTTGGTTTCAGCCTGCCTCAGGTCTATCTATACTAAATTAAGTATTTAATTTTAAACCATTATTACTTTAGGGTCATCCATAAATGACATCACCCAAATGTTTTCAATTCCCCCCCCCTCCCACTTTTTCTCCCCATCATCAAAATAAAGGTTAAACCCCCCCCCCTCCCCCCTTTCCAATATAACATCACAAACCTACTCTGCACCACCCCAAATAAATATACATTCCAAATGTTTTCAATTCCCCCCCCCTCCCCCTTTTTCTCCCCATCATCAAAATAAAGGTTAAACCCCCCCCCCTCCCCCCTTTCCAATATAACATCACAAACCTACTCTGCACCACCCCAAATAAATATACATCTGTCCTTTACAAATCCTTACAAAAATCACCTCCTAAGGCCATGAATATTGAAATACTGCAGTGTGTCAGAAACATATTCCTAGAACTAGAACAGTGGTTCTTAAACAAGGGTGTAAGTGTTGAAGACTCAGAAAATAAATTTCATTTGCACGCCATTTCTAGTTGTTTCTGCCAGCAATAACTTTTTTTTCCTGTTGAATTTCGTTTGTGTGTTGTTGGCATTGGTAATATTTGTCTTGTATCTAGAAAGTTAATCTAACAAATAAAACACCAATAAGTAAATAATTTAATTACTTTTATTTCTTAAATTTTATTCCAGGTACTATTTATTTTATAGTGGGATGGGAGGTTGTGGGAAATGTTTAGAAGTTGAGAGGGGATGCAGCACTATCAAAAATCTAAGAATCCCTGGCTTAAAACATGTACTAAAATCACCCCCCCCCCCCCCCCCCAACATTTTTTTTTAAAACCCCCCCCCCCCCCCCCGTCCAACATTTTTTGTTCCATCTCACTTCCAGTGGTAGCGACAATTCTATTTGTGGGTGAATAACCAGGATCTCGAGAAATGCATTGCTGAGAACAAATATGCTTTATAGCTAAATTTAGTTGCTTTTTTAAGATTTTAAAAATAACTGAATGAGCCAGTTACTTTGGTCCCAAAATGAGGTACCAATAAGTATTATTAATAATTGCCACTATTGAAGTATGTGTATGTATAAATATATAGGTTGACCATCTCTTATGCCAACTTATGTTTTAACATCATTAAAAAATAATTCACTTATAATAGTTATTGTTTTATTATTTATGTTTTAAAAATGTGTTTTATTTTCAGAAAATTACTTCAGTTTCTCCTGCCAACAATAGGCCAATTGCTGATGTAATTACTGTGAGTGTGAACTTATTTATATAAAAAGTGTATTTTAATTAAGTTAGTGTCTGGACAACAATTTTAAAATTAACTTGTAAGTGCATAAATTATATTTTATATGTACACACAATGTTTTAGAATATCTTTCTACACGATAAAAATAATTTCTACATATATTACATGATACTTCTGATAATTCTACTATATATATAATATACTCCACATTTCAGGGAAATGCATCAGATTATGAAACTGCTATAAAAGCAACAAGAAATGCATGGGAACTTTGGGCAGATGTAATTATTTTTTACCTCTTAAATATTAATGACTGAAAATGTATAAAAGACAAAAGATTTTTTTTAAAGTCACAGTTTATATGCTGCATTGTATGATTATGGAAGTATTTAAGTAGTAAATATATTTTTGCTATGTCATGAATCACTTTAATATCACAGCTATGATTTTACAAGAGAATTTAAACTTCATTGATTGAACCATATGAGATTTACCTTAAACTATTTTTATTCTTTATGGTTTATGTTTTTCATTAGATCCCTGGACCTCAAAGAGGTGAAATTGTAAGACAAATTGGTGATGCACTCAGACAGAAAAAGCAATTCCTCGGAAAGTTGGTCAGTTTATTTTTTATTGTTTTTTTTTTATTGCATGTACTGGTATGTATTTAATATTGACACATCAACATGAATGGGAATCAGTAATGAATGGAATTTGAGTTTTAATTTTTTCTCAATATTTTAATATTCTTGCTTAATGCATCATTTAAAACTGTTAATATGCATTCATGTCATCTTAAATCTAATAACAAAATCTAGCAGAATAAATGTTGAAAAATTCCCCTCATTATGTTTCTTTGTACATTTATTTCAAAATTTGTAGGCAGATGAAGTCATTTAATGAAGCCTTTCAGCCTTTTTTCTGATTTAATTATTAAATGATGAAATTTTTAATTTAGAATAATATTTGAATACATTATAATAATTTCATGCATGATCATAAAGTGTCCATGTTATCAATTTTGTATATTAAAGATTTCTCTGGAAATGGGAAAGATCTTAGCAGAAGGAGAAGGGGAAGTACAGGAATACATTGATGTGTGTGATTATGCTGTTGGCCTATCTCGAATGTTTGCTGGACATATATTCCCTTCTGAGCGTAAGTGAATGGTAATTGTTTAAATAAAAGTCAAATTAAATCTCCTACTTGTGATTTTTTTATTTTTTTTTTCAAAAAGATAGCTGTCAAAAATTTAGAGTGCCTCAAGGGAATTTTTTCCAAAATGTTCTTTTTACTACCAGGATAGGCAATTAAATGGTATATAAAATAACAATGATTTACTCACTAAAGACTTTCAGAATGTGTTTAGCTAGAAATTTCTGAATTTAAATGATTCAATAAGGAACATTTACATTTCCCTTCCTTGTTTTTAGATTAGAAAGTAATTATTCTTTAAATATAAAGGAGATTATGTATGTATGCATATTTTAACCATGTTATTATATTTCTGATAAAATATAAATAACAGATGGGAAACCATCTTCAAATTTCTCCATTGATTTACTTCTTAGGTCCTGGTCACATGTTGTTAGAGCAGTGGAATCCACTGGGTGTTGTGGGAGTGATCACAGCCTTCAACTTCCCTTGTGCTGTCTATGGATGGAATTCAGCTATTGCCATGATTTGTGGTAATACAATGTTATGGTAAATATTTATCAAGGCTCTGCATACTGTTATTTGACTTCCCAAGTGAAATTGGTTTAAAATAAGAAGGTAAAGGTATTTTTATTTTTGTCTTCAACTTTTTTTTTTTAAATCAAACCCACAAAATGAGCATTTAGTATTAATAAAAAATTAAAGGAGACAACTATTTTATTGCAGGAAAGGAGCACCTTCAACTCCCCTTGTCAGCGTAGCTGTTACTAAGTAAGAAAACTATTATTATTTTTATTTTCTAGTCTGTTTTTTTTTCCAGAAAAAGATATGCTGTCTATGTATTTTGCAATAATTCATCTTTCCATTTACTTTTGATTCCTCAAAAAATGTTTGAAGTATTTACTATTGTATCCCTGTTACTGAGTGAAATGAAATATATCTTAATTTTGCTTAAATTATAACCTTAAACACTATGATTAAGTTATTTGCTAATCCACTCTATGATTAAGATATCTGCTTTAAAAAAAAATATTTTTTTTAAATTGACTATCATCAGAGTAATTAGTTCAGTTCTGGAAAAGAATAAAATTCCTGGAGCAGTGTGCTCTCTTGTTAGTGGAGGTGAAGACATTGGGTAAGTTTTTAAAATGCTGTCTACTATAAAAGATTCACTATTCTCTATTACTGTACATGTTTTCTCAATATTGTATTTACTTAAAATGTTTTTTAAATCTAGAGGCAATTCGCTAGTTGTTTTTTTTAAAAACTAAACCTAAACTTTGACTGTCTGGGTACTGCATCTTAAAATTTACTTTCCACATGAGCCTTTTTTTTTTTTAGAATCCATTATTATTTAGCTGAAATTTGGATATCTAGTTCATTGTTCATCATCATTTTAGAATATAATACATTTATTGAGCTGACCATAGACTGGGTACCAAAATCTGTAGATCTTCTCAGTTTATGGGAGGAAAAGGTTTTTTTCCAAAAAAATTGCACAAAGATAATTTAAAAAAGAATTAAATATTTCCTGAATTGAATTTTTCTAGAATTAAAAAAAAATTATGTCTTATAATATGTAGAAATAATAATAATTTTCTTTAATTATTTTAGGAAACTAATAGCTACTGATGAGAGAGTTAATCTAGTATCTTTCACTGGAAGCACACCTGTAAGTTAATTTTTTTTAAATTTAGTTTTCTTTCTTCAATTTCAAAAATTTGTAGTAAATATGTTAGTAATTCAAATATGAACTCTGAACCTTGTCCACATAATAATGTGCTTGACGTTTTGCTGGGAGCCTACAATATTAGGATGGGTTGGCTGTCGTATATTTCTTTTAAGTTTGCAGTTAGCTCTTTGCAAGGCCTACTAATTTAGTCATTCTTTGCTTAAGAAATTAACGGTTTACTTATCAAGAATGTCTGATAACTACAGAACTTACTAATTTATGGGATTTTTTAAATGATTTTGCTGGGGGGTTTTTTGGGGTGTTTTTTTTTAATGATTTTGAATTGTGTACTTTTTCCCATTATCCAGAAGTTTACTTTTTGTTCATAACTACTATTTTATAAAACTTTTTCAGATAGGACTAAAAGTTTCTCTGAGCGTTCAAGAACGCTTTGGTATGAAATTTTACTTTACAAATAAGATGTCTAAAATTTAACCATTTTCCCAGCTATGCCAATACATTAGATTTTAGTCAGAACTCATTGGATTGACCTTAGTGATAATTAGTTTTTTGTTTTTATTCAGTTTTGTGTGGGGTTTTTTATTTTCACTTTTAAGCTCTTCTTTAGTAATGGAAAAACGTTTGAATAATAATTTATTGGAAAAATAATAACTTGTCCAATGTATAAAATATTTGTATTTAATAGGGAAGTGAGAAATTTGTGAAGACATTCCCATTCTATTAAAAGCAGTTGGCAAAGCGTAAATAATAGACATTGGTCTATGTAATTTATCTAGACGTTTAAAATATTCTTCTTGTAAATACTAGCTATAATTTGAGTTTATTGTTTATTTGTTTTACATTGTGAAAGTAAATCAGTAATTAAAACATTTTTAAAGTTTGAAAATCTGGAAAACATTGTTAGCATCCATTTAAAATTTTTACTTTCCAGGAAAATTTCTGTTGGAACTAGGTGGGAACAATGCAATTGTTGGTAAGATTATTTTTTTTTTGCATATTTTTTTTTTTTTAAATTACATTTCACATTGATATGAGAATACACTCAGTTTAGTAAGCTATAATTATATTCCTATTTTCAATACAATTTTTTCAGTGAATGAGGATGCTGACCTGGACATGGTGGTTAGGTCAGCGGTATTTGCCTGTGCAGGTACAGCAGGACAAAGATGTACCACAACAAGGAGACTGGTTTGTTGACATCCACTCATTTTGTATATCAGAAATGTGCCTTAACTTGCTTAACCCACTGAAACAGAGGGAACATGTGTTAACCAGGCTTATTAAAAAAGAATCTCTTACTATAATAGTCAACTCTATTACCTAAAAATATTAACATTGTTTGTTTCAAACTTAATGTGACTGCCCAATTATTTTTGTCTATAATTTATGACATACTTACAGACACCCCCCCCCCCTTTTTCCCCCAAAATCCTTCTCCTTTACCTAGTTCAGTGTTTGGCTAATTGTGGCTCATGAGTCTCATGTGCCTCTTAAGCGACCTGAGTGCGGCTCGGTCAGGCGGCCACAAATCGGTTTTGTTTCCGAAAAGCATGGTTCTGGACATGTTCTTGAAAAGAAATTTGGCTCTCAAAAATTTTTTAATCGTCCTGCTGCTGATTTTTGGCTCTTTTGACTACTAAGTTTGTCGACCACTTACCTAGATTACAGCCAACTAGTGTTTTTTGACAATGTCAATCTTGGAGCCATTAATAACTTTAAATGTTCAATATTCCATTATATTTAAATATGATTATGACATTATTTTTGCAGGTTATTCTCAACATTCAAAGCTTAAATCTTTTACTTAAAAATTTCAGATTTTACATGAAAAAGTACATGATGTTGTTGTTGAAAAATTATCCAAAGCCTATGCTCAGTTGAGGATCGGAGATCCTATAGACGGTCAGTTTAGCAATGATTTGATGCTAGATTCTTTTTGCAGTATATGTTAACCTATGATGTAAAAATGTATTGTTGCTATTTTAAAAATGAAATTAAAAATTTTCAGAAGGTACCTTGTATGGCCCCCTTCACAACAAAGCCGCTGTTGAGCATTATGTAAAAGCTCTTGAGGAAGCTAAAGCTCAAGGAGGGAAAATTGTTTATGGTGGAAAGGTTTATCTTTATATTTTCTTGAAAAAATTCATTTTAAAGTAGATTAGTAAAAAAAATGTTAAAACAGTACCACAAAATTTATAAATGAATCCTTTTTTTTTTTTTTTTTTTTTTTTTTTTTTTTTTTTTTAAAGTTTTTTTTTTAGTTTTTTTTAGTAAAAAAAAAATAAGTTCTTAACCACTGTAGGAAAAGCTACTAGCAACTTTTTATGTTTCAGGTACTCGATAGACCAGGCAATTTTGTAGAACCAACAATTGTCACTGGCCTTGCTCATGATGCTGGTATTGTTATGAAGGAAACTTTTGTGCCTATTGTCTATGTACTTAAATGTAAGGTAAGTGACATCACTTTAACCATTTTATATGTATACCGATGGATTGATGATATTAATAGTTTTATGTAAGAACATTTTTAAACAGAAAGTTTGAAATGATTACTTGCTGGGATTAATTGCATCAAAATAAAAACATAAATGAACAATTAAAAACCAAAATTCAACCATGCTGATAAGTTATCTGGACATTCAGTTCATCCCTGTTAACATTTTTTTCTGTAAAAATGTATTCATAAGCCTCATCGTAAAATCACTTTTCTTAGTGAGTGAGTTAAATATTTAGGAACATTAACCCAAGATCAATTTTTATTCATCTTTTAATCTTCAAGAATGTAGATGAAGCTGTGAGATGGAATAATGAAGCCAAGCAAGGTCTCTCTAGCAGTCTCTTTACTAAAGACCTCAGCACAATTCATAAATGGATTGGGTAAGGCTATTTAAATTCCCATGCTACACATTTGGTAGTCATTGGAAAATGCATTAATCATTACCAGCTAAGCTGTCTAGTCAGCAACTCTTGAAGTGACCTGTGACGCATAGTTTTAATAAACGCACCAGGAACAATTATGGAAGCAAAAAGATTTCTTCAAGAATTTTTACCTTTAACGGAAATTACACAGCTTTAAACTAATTGTATTGTTAGCCATTCAAACTATAGATATGTATATAGTTAGATAGATACTGATGAATGCATTATCTTAGTTTTCATCAAGGGTTCTCAAAATTTTTAATCAGGGGATCGGTTCACTGTCTTAAGACTCTGGAGGCTGGTTTACTGTCCTTCAAACACTGTTGGGGGCTGAACTAGAATTGAAAATTCTAAAGATATCTTACTTGTCTTGGAAAAATAAACAGGAACAAACAACACAATAAATGATGAACAATTTTAACAACAGAAACTTTTTAGTAAATGAATGGGAAGTATGAGCCTGCTTTTCACTACATAGATCAAGGGTGTCAAACTCAATCGCTAGGCGGGTCAAAACTCAAATCACATGTAAGGTTGCGGGCCGAACAGGATAAACATTCAATAAGCGGATAATTAATCTTTTTTTTAAAAACATTTTTATAAATGTAAACAGAAAAAAGTTTTAATCATTAAAAATAATTGGCGTACACATTTTCCTGGCCACAAAAACAATATAGTTCATTTTTGTTGGGAGAAACTTTCTGTGTCATTGAGATTCTCATGATGGACTGCAAGTGTTCATCAGTGAGACGATTCCTGTGTGATGTTTTGTTAATCTTTATCACAGAAAACAGCTGCTCACTCATAAATGCGCTACCCAATATGCTTAAAGTTTGAGTTCCATGTAGTCGAAGCTGGGGCATCTCTTCAGGAATGAAACGAGTGAACTGTGCAGGCCCAACTGTGTCGTACTTTACCTTTAGTGTCCCATTACACTGCAGCTTTATTTGCTCCATCTGCAAATTTGCATGTGCAGTTTTCACGTCTATGACAAATGGATTACGATACAGCTCGATATTACATTTCTGTGCTTCAAAGTCACTAATGTGCCTTGCGAACTCTGCGCGAAGTAAGCTATGTTTTCAGCAAAGTGTGCATTGGGAAACACCTTAGCGTTGACTTGGATATAATTGTACACCGGTCAAGACCTCCCGGGCCTGATATAATTGTACGGCGGGCCGGATGTGGCCCGTGGGCCTTGAGTTTGACACATGTGATATAGATGGTCAGTAAACTGTTCCATATTTGTCATTGCTACCCAAATACCCATAAGGTGGGCCAGGTTAAGAGCCCGCAGTCAGTAGTTTAAAGAACTTCTGATTTACATATTTAAATGCTGAACTCCTCCCTTTCCACACAGACCTAAAGGATCAGACTGTGGCATTGTTAATGTCAATATTCCAACCAGTGGAGCTGAAATTGGTGGAGCTTTTGGTGAGTTTTTGTTCTTGCTAACCATTATAAATGATATCAGACACTGGAAAAATCTTCTGCCCATTGCAAATAGATAAAGTGTGACCAGCAAAATTATTACATGTGTCCTGCATCTACTAGCTTGTAATTGTTATTTTGAAATGTTGAATGAACAGGTGGAGAGAAACATACGGGAGGTGGCAGAGAATCTGGCAGCGACTCATGGAAGCAATATATGAGGCGTTCAACTTGGTAAGTACAATTTTTTTTGTTTTTATGAAGCTCTGGCTGGCTGTGATTTAAAATTGGAAACATAATAAATGAAGGACTCTGTTCAAGCTGTGTGAAGGAAATAGTGGAACAAGCTGTGTGGAAGCTTGAAATGAAAAGACAGGACAATTAAATGAGAACCTTTCAGACTTAAAAGCCTTCTTGAGCAGACAGGACAAAACAGGAAACAATAAAGAAACTTAAGTGTCTGGAGTTGGCCTTGTGCAATGGAAATGTCATTTCTTTGCAAGCGTCAACATACCTTGCGCCACGGTTTCATTTAAATTAGTGTCATCATTTGATCACCTTCTAATTATTTCCTTCAATGAATTTTAGGATCTTCCCCTATAAATGTAATAACTGTCAGAACCATCTATCAATACACATTTGAAATAATAAAATCTTAGCTTGAACTTATTCGTATAAACATAATGAGCATTGGTATGTATTGAATTAATACTATTCTTTGACTGTCTCCAGCACCATCAACTTCAGCAAGGAGCTCCCCTTGGCTCAGGGCATCAAGTTTGAGTGAATTCCAAGTTTACCATTTATTATAAAAATTTTTGAGAAAGTGTGAAATGTGTGGATTGTTACTTTACCTGTAACCAATTTCCATTATTGTGTGATTATCTCTTACTTTGACGATACAATTGATTGTAATGATTAGCTGGTTAGACTGTAACCGCATATGTTGGTTAGAAAAAGTTTGTGAGCAATCTTCTTGTTACCTCTACAAATCCTAGTCAAGGCTTGTGAATAAGCCGATATTTTACACTCAGATCTTTTCATTTTATAACGTTCAATGAAAATGCATTGTTCAAAATTGTTTCATACAGTCTAGACAGTATTATTTCTCTTTATAGCAGTGGTGTCCAACAATTTTTGGAACGGAAACGTCAGTTCTGTCATGCTAAGAATCACTTTATACAGCATGAAATTATTTTAAAATACATTTTCCCCAATGGAGTATTTGGATCTTATACATGGAACTCAAGAACCTGTGCTGGTTTCTGCACTGAAAAATATTGGAACCCATTGTTTTATGAGGAAAATAATAAAAATTCAATGTTTTTTTTTTTTAATTAGTCTTTCAATCTCAGAATCTCATAAACTTGTGAAAGTGTTATGTTGTGTTAATTTAACTGACCAATATGTGTCTTACCTCATTGGTGCGTGTATAAATGTGAATCAATCTTTTTTTCCCCTTTGATAGAGAATCTTACAGATATAATGCATTTTACAGTTTAAAATTAAAGTTATTACATAAGAGCTATTTAATTTTTGTCACTATTCCAATCTACAAGAAATCTATTTCAACATTGACTGCAAGTTTTTTTGGTAAACTTTTATTTTTGGGCATCATTTGGTTTCTTATTTTTCACTGTAGAGCTAATTTTGTGTGCTCAAGTTCAATCTGCATTTATTGCTGTTTAGAAGATATCTCATGATACTTGGTTTTTGGAAAAACTTACACAGTATTGTATTTTATCAGGGATGCCTGTGGTTGCATAAAAAATAAAGATATTAGATATAACTTAAGTCATTTTTTAATTTATTTTAATGTATTTCATGTAACATTTGTACGCGTGTTGCCAATCATTGTGACTATTTCGCAATTTAAAAAAAAGATAATAATAAATATTAAGTCAAAGGTAAAGAAAATGATGAGACCACAATATAAGTCTTGGATGTTACTTTCTCACTTCACCACGCTTCTTAGCACATAACTCATTGAAAATTTGCACAGCAATCTTATTAAAGAAAACAGAATGAAATAAAAATCACTTTAAAATTGAATTAATTTTATAAATAATAGCGAGATGGTTTTTTATAATTATTTAAATAATTCTATCTGAATGTAATGAATTAAAATGATATGAATATGAAATTGATATATTTCTAATAGCTGGATAAGCTACATCCCTTTGTTTTAAGCAATGAATTAAAATGATATGAAATTAATTTAATTCTAACAGCTGGATAAACTATACCCATTCATTTTAAAGTAATTAATTAAAATAACATGTAAATGAAGTTAATATATTTCCAATAGCTTGATAAACTACACCCATTCATTTTAAAGTATGGTAATGAATTAAAATTACATCAATATGAAATTAATTTAATTCTAACAGCTCGATAAACTACACCCATCCATTGATCATGTCTTGCTCTATATCATACTGTGTAGCATTGGCAGTCAGGCCACAGCGACGTTTGAAGGTGTTACCATAGGTCCAAATCCATTTATTGGTTACTGAGAATGATTTTAAAAAATTGTGTTTACAAATTAAACATTAGTGTCCTTCAAAATATTTTTAGTTTACCGGGTATTTAATAAATTGGTAACCAATGAAAACTTTATTTTGTAATTAACTTAAATATTTAACTTTCCAATAATTTTTCAATGAATTTGGAAGCTGGAATAATTCATATTATATATCGCATTTATGATGTGTCTTAAGGGGACTGTACTTGCAGTCAGTGGCGTCGCGAGGGGGGTGCGGACCGCACCGGGTGACACCATTTTAGGGGTGACACCCGATTGAAAAATTGCATATTTACAGAGCACTGCTCGGTCTGACAGAGCACACACTGATCGGTCTGACAGAGCACACACTGCTCGGTCTGACAGAGCACACACTGATCGGTCTGACAGAGCACAGACTGCTCGGTCTGACAGAGCACACACTGCTCGGTTTGACAGAGCACACACTGCTCGGTCTGACAGAGCACACACTGCTCCGTCTGACAGAGCACACACTTCTCCGTCTAACCGAGATTCATGAAAGGATAACCGATCACATGTACATTTGTTTCACGAATGTAACCAATCAAAATGAGTGCTATATTAAAAGTTCAAGGTTGATGAGTCAGAAATGAGATGACCCTATGTTTAGGACAGAAAAACACAGTCATTATTCCATGCCGATTGAAGTGTTCGGTAACGTCCGTAAGTGACAGTTCAGGAGGCTATATTTATCTAAATACTGAGAAATTGGAAATACGGTGTGGTCGAGCGATTCTAAGTATAAGAGGAGGTAAAACTGAAAAAAAATTAAAAATGAATCTTTACATTATGTATAGGATTAAAATATATATTATTTTACACAATTTTCGATATTTTAATGAATAATTCTTATTTATTTAAATAAAGACATGTTTTTTGAAGACACATATACTATGAAACCCAGAAATACATGTACTCAAAAAGTAATATTCTCCCCGATTCGTCACTAGTACCGCACCTTAACAATTTAGCACGATTGTCATATTTCGACTGCTGGGTTTTACCTGCTACCTTTCTATGAATGGTACACAAGTTTGTGTACGCTGCGGGACATGATTCAATACTCTTGAACAATAAAAATGCTTTAATTATGTCGTGTTCAAGACAACAACAAAACAAAAAAAAACAATTACTGACAACAGTTCAAAAACAACAGTCATGGAACTGTCCAAAATCGGAAGAGCACCTTTGTTTCCCTGAAAAGTGGAAAGTAGTGGCAGCAGGACGTAGGATACACAAAACAATTGATACCAAAAGTATTGCTGTGATGGACAGGGAGGAGAAAAAGTGGAGGGATATCATTCACAGGATATCATATTGTTTCTTGCAAAGCAAAATCTGGCATGTCGTGGCTTCAACGAAGATGAATCTTCATAGAAAATTTATTGAAATGGTTGAGATGCTATCTAAATATGACCCAGTGCTATAAGAGCGTCAAATGAGTCTAAAGGAGAGTACATCTACAGAAAAAGCATCCACATCTTACCGTTCACCAGAAACCCAAAATGAATTTACAAATGTCTTTGCAAATCACGTGAAGGAGATTCTTATCATGGATATAAAGGCTGCGAGGTTTTTTTGGAATTATGTTCGAAAGTACAACTGATATACCACACAGAGACCAGATGTCTGAAGTGATCAGATATGTGAAAATCCACAGTGGGAAAGTTGAAGTGATAGAAGTGTTTCTTGCATTGTTCTCATTAAGAGAGAGAAAAACTTAACTTGTGTGGTCAACACTCTTTTGCAGAAAATGCTTCATGTATTATATTTTTCGGTATTTTTGAAAGAATATTTTAGTTCTTTGCTGCATCCACTCATCGATGGAATGTTCTAACTGAACACACTGGAATGGCGTTGAAAATACTGTTAACAACTCGTTGGAGTGCTCATCGTACTGCTGTTAAAACAGTTAAAGATGAGTTTGATGAATGTGTGGCGGTGATTGAAGCTCCATGTAATCCTCTTGTAAATTTGGATACAAAAGATACAGCACATGGTATTTTACATGCTGTCTGTGATTTCACGTTTATCTGCTACCTTTACCTATGTGTTGATCTACTTGAGAAAGTTTATCTTACACAGCATTATCTGCAGACTAAAGGCTTTAATCTTGACAAAGTGGTGACCAGCCTAGAGGCCTTAAGATTGTTTCTGCACGAGAAGCGCTGTCACTTAGTGGAACATGCTATTGAAAAGGCACTTTTAAAATCAGACCAATATGGCATTTCGGTAGAGATTAAGGTTAAAGAAGAGAATGGCGGGGAACAATTAACAGATGCTGGACCCTGATTGCTAGAAGAAAACAGTAGGGAGATGCTGGAGTGTTTTGATCGCTTTAATTATGCACTCCAGATCAGAATATCAGCGATCAATGAAGTAGCAGATATGTTTGGGGCTGTTCAACCCAAGATTCTACTATCAGGAAATGAAGAAGAGTTATTGGTGTCCGTTCCAAAATTAAATTCTTTCTATGATGAGTATAGAATATGAACTTTTAAAAGAAATACCAAAGCCTGATATTGAATTTCACAAAGTCATGAACTGGTCAGTATTTGATGTTTTGAAATTCATTGCTGAATGGGATTTCCTAGAATCTCTTCCAAATACTCTCGATATGACTTTAATTTTTTCTTACAATATGTGTGTATGTGGCTTCATGTGAGCGGAGCTTTTCAAAACTAAGGCTTATCAAGAAATTTTTATGATCCACGAGACAGTCAAGGCTTTCTGATGTGGCTCTGCTATCAATTGAAAGTGATAAAGTGAAGGACATTGATTTTAATCAAGTGATTGACAGGTTTGCAGCTTTGAAGACAAGGAAAGGACATTTTTAATAAAAAATAAATTTAATGTAAAAATAACTATAACTTAACGTTGTTACAGTTTTTCAATACTTCGATTTGTATTTTTGTTCTTGTCATTGTTATACTGTGGACTTATTTTAACAATAAGAAATCCATTATGGAAGTTTGGGGGGGGGGGGAGGTGACACCATGAGTTTACCGCACAGGGTGACACCAACCCTAGCTACGCCACTGCTTGAAGTAATGTTTTTATGAAAAAATAAAAAGTAAATTCAATTTACCCCATTTTTATGTAAAAATAACTATAACTTAACTTTGTTACAGTTTTTCAATTCTTCGATTTGTATTTTTGTTCTTGTCATTGTTATACTGTGGACTTATTTTAACAATAAGAAATCCATTATGGAAGTTTGGGGGGGGGGGAGGTGACACCATGAGTTTACCGCACAGGGTGACACCAACCCTAGCTACGCCACTGCTTGAAGTAATGTTTTTATGAAGAAATTAAAAGTAAATTCAATTTACCCCATTTGTGTCCAATGACCACTGGGCATGCAGCGTGGTAAGTTGTATTTTCTAACTCACCAGCTGGTGTAAAACTATACCAGAATAAAGCCATGTTCTGTGGATTTAATAAGATTAGCTGAGAATAGAATGGACTATGCATGTAATGAGATGGGCATTTAGTGGAATGAATATGGGGCAAGTATCAACCCCATTCCATTCTTTGCCCCAATAAAATTAAGCGACCCAGTGTTTCAATATATATCATATGAGCAAGAAATTGTTGTAACAAAAAAATATCTTATTTTACAATTTAAAGCAGAAAATTGAATACAACATTTTAAATTTGTCTTTTTTTTTATTCTTATTCCCCAATAAATGACACATGTATCTTAAATCAACTGTCTTAGACAAAGATAAAATGACGTACAATATTAAGATGTTTACATTGATAACATGTATTTATTTTGTTCCCTACAATAAACCAACATTTCACTTACTTTGACAGGTTTGACAACAAGGTCAGCACTTGTAAATGCTGTTGAGCCGCCCACGTCCACTTCATTTAACTGAAATTATCAAAGTAGCCCATGGGTGAATATATAATTTCGGGGTGGGTGGGGGGGGGAGATATATTCAAATATTTGTATTATAATTGTAATTCCTAAGGTGAAAAGAGCAGACACGCACACTCTCACCAGTGGAACAGATTTAGTTGTTATTTTATTGATAAAACATACTCTGGAGCTGTGGTTTTCAACCTTCCTTATGCCCCGACCCTTTAATACAGTTACTCAGGGGTGGACTGGGGAGTTCAAGCGGCCCGTGAAAAAATCAACGCGGCCCGGGAAAAAATCAACGCAGCCCGGGAAAAAATCAACGTGGCCCGGGAAAAAAACAAAAAGCGGCCCTATCTTCATGACTTTTATGTTTATTACATCACCGGTCCTAGCGGCCCATCGGGAATCTTCCTGGTGTCTCGGCGGCCCAGTCCACCCCTGCAGTTCCTCAAGTTGTGGCGACCCCCAACCACAAA